CAGACTCAAACTATTTAAAGGGACACTATAGTCACCCAGACCACTTCAGCTCAATGAAGTGGTCTGGATGTCAGGTCCCTCTAGGGTTAACCCTGCCTAATGTAAACAGTTTCTGAGAAACTGCTATGTTTACACCTGGGGTTAAGCCAGCCTCTAGTGGCTGTCTTCCGGACAGCCACTAGAGGCGCATCGGCAATGATTGAGGCATATTATGCCTCAATCACGCAGACCGTCCATAGGGAAGCATTGAAAAATGCTTTCCCACTGACACTTTGAATGTGCATTCGGCGCCGGTGACGTCAGACAAGGATGCTGATGTCGGCGGGGAGGAGAGGTAAGGGAGCCCGGCGGGGGAAAAGGGTGAGTAGCTGAAGGAGTTTTAACCCCTTCAGCGCTGCGGGAGGGGGACCCTGAGGGTGGGGGCACCCTAAGGGTACTATAGTGTCAGGAAAACCAAGTGGTTTTCTTGACACTATAGTGTCCCTTTAAGTAAGGACTATAATTCAGAGAGAAATTGAAGAACTATTAATTATAAACGTCAATAACAATATAATGAAAATGAAGCAAAAATTCTACAATCTAGGTAATAGAGCAGATAAAATGATGACTAACCAACTTAAAAAATTTAATTTAAGGAATAGAATATTCAAAATAATTGAAGAGGATAAAGACTATACTAGTCCAGAAGATATAGGACGAATTTTTAAAAATTCCCTGCGGAATATTACAAAAAGAAGTTGTACACTTTGTGCCCATATGATAGGCATATTTACTGAAGTTAGAGAATCCGGGTCTTTTCCAACTGATATGCTTTAAGCATTTATACTACCTATATGAAAGACAGGGAAAGAGGCGACAAAATTATCTAACTATAGGCATATTTCTCTGATTAATACAGACTCAAATATATATTCGGCTATTCCTGCTGCACATTTAAAAACAAAAAAAAAACAAACAAAAAAAAACATATGTCCAATCTGTATACAAAAAGATCAGGTCGGATTTGTTAAAGAGCGACAATCCAACGATAATACAAGAAAAATAATCATCTTACTGGATTATGTAAACTCTAATAAAATATTATTTATATCGCTTGATGCAGAGAAGGCTCTTGACAGGGTCATTTTGACCTTTCTGGAAGAAGTTCTTCGAAACTTCGGTTTCAGAGAGGTCTTTATTGGCGCTCTCATGGCCTTATTTACTAATCCAAGTGAAAGAGTGATTGGTCAAAGTATAAGATCAGAGTGGTTTGATATAGGTAATGGCACGAGGCAAGGATGCCCACTTGAACCAATGCTATACATGTTAACACTTGAATCCTTTGCAGCAAGAATAAGGAACAATGAATACATAAAGGGTATTAAAGGTGGGAGATCTGGAAAATAAACTTAGCATGTATGCTGACGATATTCTTTTGTCTATATATGACCCTGAGAATTCTCTGACTTCATTAAATGTGTCAAATTCAAGACTATGTAGCAAATTATAAAATAAACATGAACAAGTCACAAGTAATGGATATAGAAATTTTAGATAGGGAAAGAACTAGATTAGGTAAAAAACTCAAACTATGCTGTGGGGTCAATGAGATCACTTATCTCGGAGTAAAAATCCCTAAAAGAATAAGAACAATTATTCTTCACTTTTAGAAGAAACAGTTAGACAACTCTGTGAATGGAAAGGCCTGTTCATATGAGAAGGATCAATGTGATCAGAGCCTATATTATTCCGAAATTGTTATATTTATTGAGATTTATACCTTTAAAATTACCTTTAAGTGGATCAGGATCATCCAGACAAATGTCAATAGATTTGTCTGGGCGGATAAAAAAAAAACCTAGATTAGCAAAAATAATTTGTTCTTCTAGTAATAAGAAGAAGGGGTTAAATATGCCTACCTGGAACGTTATGCAAAAGCTGTGCCATTTCTCTAAGCTTAACAATAAGCAAAATAAAGACGAAAGCTGGTATTACATAGAACAAGGACTAGCAGAAATGTGTAACTTGGAATGTTTATTAGGGTTACGCAATGAAAAATTTAGAAAACTTGAAAAAGCATGATAACTAGGAATTGCAGTGAATTTTGGATAAGTTTTAAAAGCCGAATAGGCATGAAAGAAATTATTGTCTGCTTCCCTAGACATTCTAAGAAATAATATCCCTTATCTTGAACTTTACAACTGGGTAAATTTTTTAATCTTTAAAGTACGCGATTTTATGACCGAAGATGGAATAAAAACTCCAACTTAACTTCTTAATGAATATGCATTTAATGAATCAGAGTATTTTAACTCTCTTAGAATATGGCACTAACAACCATATTTGCAATAAATGTCCCTCTTTTAATAACAATATCAACTTTATTGCTATTGAACAGTTACAGCTCAATGAAAGAGGAGGAGATTTAATTAAATTTACTACTCCGTTTTATTTTTCTTCTACTATAGATACTTTTTATATAGTTTGTTTTGTGAGGACTGGGAGGAGTCCTGTTACCTTATCTACAGTTTAAAATAATACTGTATAGGTAAAATAATTCTATACATGCACACAGTGAGTCTTTCTCCGTGATTTTAAAGGGTGATAAAATGTATAATGTATAAAAAAAAAAAAATGCCTTTAAATAATACTTGGAGAACATTGACAAAACATTAAGGGCAATCCAAACCATTCAGTTTCCAAGCACTTTCTATTAAAAACTTTAGCCCCTAATGGTCTTAATACTGAATTTGATTCATTTAGTTTTATCTAACTTTATTTGAGCTATTTATCTTATTTACTTATCTTAATTGCCATCTTTACCATAGAGTTATTTTATTGTATTTATATTAGTTCTATTTACTGCTTTAAACTCTTATTGCTAATCTTTACTCTCCTAATTTGCTGCTTTATTCATTACCCAATTTATGTTCTATTTATTAAAGGCCATTTATTTATTTTTTTAAACGGATAACAAAGCTATTTTTATTCTTTTTTTTTCTAATCAATGACTAAATCTATTTTTCCTCTTTGTTTTTTAATGTATTAATAATATTTATGATTGGTAAACTATTTTTATAGTAAAGTCTTTCTGTTGTGTTTTAAGCATGTTTTAACAATTCTGTGTATTTACTGATTGGACCGTGATATCACTTTTTTGGGAATCAACACAGTAGAGGAGGAAACTATATTTAAAATAAGAAAAACCACAATAAGAGGGTATAGTCTTAAATTAGAGGGGCATAGGTTTAAAAATAATTTCAGGAAGTATTACTTTACAGAGAGGGTAGTGGACGCATGGAATAGCCTTCCAGCTAGTAGAGGTTAACACAGTGAGGGAGTTGGAGCATGCATGGGAATGGCGTAAGGCCATCTTAGACTTAAAATAAAGCTACTTATTTAGAAAATTGGGCAGACTAGATTGGCCAAACGGTTCTTATGTGCCGTCACATTCTATGTTTCTAAGTATCCTGAACTATACCTTGACAGGAACATCAAAGAAAAAAGGCTTAGGTCGTGTAATAAAACCAAATTTTTGCAACTCAGCATTCTCATTGCAAAAATGGCCAATATTGCGTAGCCTTTAGGCCTGGCAATATTGTAGCCGGTTTTTTTGCATATCAGCACAATCACTTTTCTATCTATTTTAGCAGCCCAAACTGCCTAGAATAATTTGTTTTCGATACTAAAATTCAGTGAATTGAACAGTGGCCTGAACTAAATTGAAGTCCAGAAGTTTGATTTTTCTGCCAAAATAATTTGGGTGCAAAAGAATAATAAAAATATATATATATATATATATATATATATATATATATATTTTTTTTTTTTCACCCTGCACAAGTCTCATGCTGTGGTCTTTCATTAACATATAGATATCCCCAGTGTACACACTACAAACCGTGCTCTGTACTATGTGACTGAAGCATATGAAGGCATTCCTCCATTTCTACTGCTGATTAGGTTACACATCACAAGATAATTCTGCATCCTCTCTCATAGGCAAAAAAAAAAAAAATGTCCATCAAGTTCAGCCTCTTACACATCTGTTTTGCTATTGATCCAAATAAAGGCTAGAAAGAAATAAAAAAAGAAAAAGTTTTAAGCACTTTACAATTTTGCAACAAACTAAGGGGGGGAAAAAAAAATATCTTCTTGACCCCAGAATGGCAGACAGCTCTCTCCTTGGATCAAGAAGATACCCTACACATTACAAATTATATACCGTAACTGAATATTGATTTTACAAGTATTCATCCAGTTGCTATTTAAAAGGGACACTGTAGGTCTACATGGCTGAGCTAACCAATAATGATCTCTGCCAATCCAATACTTTCCCATGTGCAGGAAAACTGTGTGCTGGCCACTCCTCAGATGGCTGCTAGAGAGGTGCTTCCTTAAGCAGTCCTGCCTAATGTGCAGCACTTCCATTCAGTTTTTCCACCCTCTGCATGCAGACACTGAACTTTCCTCATAGAGATGCATTGATTCAATTCATCTCTATGAGAAGATGCTGATTGGCTAGGGCTGTATTTGACTTGTGCTGGCTCTGCCCCTGATCTGCCTCCTTGACATCTTAGCCAATCCTTTGAGGAAGCACCTCAATCCTTTGGCTCAGACCACCACTTTTGATGATTTCATCAGACAGGGGCAGAGGTAGCAGCTGCAGACTTGAATACAAGTAAGATTGTACTATATTTAGGGAGGCAAAGGGGGCCAGATGGTGGTTTTAACACTATAGGGTCAGAAATATATGTCAGTGTTCCTAACCTTTAAACTTTGCAATGTAAAATTTGTCATTTCTGTAGAATGGCATTGTTTTACATTGCAGGGATAAACAGACACTGACCTGATGTGGCCGGGGTGCCCATAGTGTCCCTTTAAGTCATTTTAAAAGTTTATTCAAAAATGTTTCATTGAGGCTTATATTAGACTCCTGTCATAACAATGTTAACCAAGTTATTTTGGTCTCTTGGTTAAAACAGTAAATGCAATTTATATTGAAACATTTATTCAGCAGGAGCTGATCATGCAAGATAATTTTAACAAGTATTGGTCAATAACAAATCATGTCCAGGTCAGTACAGCGTCAGTCACATGAGCTTAATGATGAAAATTGCTATTGGCAAATACTTTATTGAGAACCCTTCTTATACATAATTCACTGAAAGAAAATATAAATATAAAAAGGCATTTTTCCCTCCATTTGTCGTTGGCCTTTACTATGGTCCATGTGAATATCCAGCCAAGAGTACACTAGTCAAAACACATCAGGAAAATGAAGCATTATATACGAAGTTTACAGTGGCACTTAATTATGCAACAATCCAGTGGCACCCAGCAAAACAAGGGATTTTGGTATTTCAAAAAGGTGCAATTGCAAGGTTTTTGACTCGCAATACAACAACAATGTTAATAATGAAGAAATTACTAACCGCAAAAAAATGTTAGCGCAAGCAAAAATATTATGCACTAAAATATATTGGCATCAAAATATCACAAGGAATGCATAGTCCAAGGTAAACTAGAACTTTATAGTAGTGTTACTGCAGTTATGTTTTAAACAGTAAAGAAAGAACGGGAAGAAAAAACAAACAAAAAAAAAACCACAAACACCTCACATAATGTGTCAACAAAGAAAACCCTAATCTGAAGTTTGAGTACATCAAAAGCATTTAAAATTTTAGAAAAGCATGCGTGTATTAAAGGACTTTGGGTTTCACCAACACAAACCAGTGCAGTTATTTAGCAGCTCTTTAGAGAAAATATAATATATATATATATATATATTTAATTTTTTTTTCTTCTCATCATCATTTTGATTTCTTGCACAAATTATATACACACACAGTTACAATGATACAGTTATTTTGGTGGGAAACCCACAAAAACACTATTTCAGATTCAACACAACACTTGATGGCACCTTTTTATTGAATTTTCATTTCAAGGTTTCTTGGCTGGCCCAAAATAAAAATAAAAATTATGGAAGGCAACATAATAGTTGAAAAACAAGGCATTCATTCATCACAACCTTGTGCTGCATCTTTTGTTTGCTGGGAATTCCTTTCAATATATCTCAACTCGCCCCCAAAAAAGGACTGTAGATATAGAAACAAACATCTGCGGAGGGAGATATTAAATATGTATGAAATCCAGTGAAAAAATACTTCAATGTTTATGCTAGTATTTCATAAAAGTGGAAAAAAAGAAGTGCAATCTCATTTAGCTATAAGCGTTAGGAGAGAAATTAACAGTGGAATGTCTGCAGTATGGGCAAGCACGCTTACTTCTCTTTCACAAACAAGATTGATGCTGATCGATTCCTCAGGGAAGGTTTTATTATTTTTCTTTTAAGAGATAATGGAACTGCGCATTCTATTTTTTATTTATTTTTTCAATGCTTTAAAGGTATAGGTTAAAAAAAACAAAAAAAAAAAACCCAGTCTCTAGGGTCAGAAATAATTATAATTTAAAAAAAAAAAGTAAGATATTTATATAGTGCAGCACTTCACATAACCAGGCGTTTGTACAATCATCACAAAAGCACAAATCATCCAAGCCAAATCTTCTCAATGTCTATGCAAAAACCTAGCATGGAAAATAGTGTCTGCGGTCTTTTTTTATGGTGACAAATCTCGAATCCAGTAGATATTGTTGTATAGCAAGATAAGGAATTCCACAAGAAAAGGATGTTGCTGCTGCTCGTAGTACCATGTATATCAGACACTGGCCTTACATATGAGACTTGCTCTGTCTCAAGGGCAGTGTTTTCTGGTTACTTGTTGCAGAAGGGAGGGTCTTAAAGTTTTGTCCTAGACTGCATTTGCAGGAGTACCATTGTGAGTCACTGCTTTGAGGTTTGGACTACTAGCTTGCTGACTGAAGGTCCTGTGTGTCGCAGCACCTACTTCAAACACCTCATGGATGGCTTTACGAAAGCAGTGGAAATTGTAGTCTATTAAACCTGCACAAACAAACAAAGAGAACTGATTATGAACATCTGCAATGTGTAAAATTAAAGGAGAGGGAGAAAAAAAACCAAAAACAAAAAAAAACACAGGTTGTGTTATACAGGTACTTTTCAAGACAGATATTACCCTCTCAATTCTATCTACAACACTGTTTGCATCAGGCTTGCATTTGCTGAACTTCCACTACATGGACTGAGAAGGACTGGACTACAGGCATCCAAGGTACACTCAATCTATTGTTAAACTAAGTGAGCTCTAGTGCTTCGATGTCATTCAAAGTCTGTTTATTTATAGATCTGACTAATTATTTTTATATATATTTATATATATATATATATATATATATATATATATATATATATATATATATATATATATATATATATATATATATATATATATTAAAAAGCAACAGTTAAAGGGCACTGAGGTAGTTACGGTGTCTCAATGTTGTCAAGCCATTTCCCACAGTTTGACAAGTTACCTGGGCTCTACAAGAGTCAGAATCTCTCTGCATAGAGCTCAGTTAGCAAACAGACTACTTACATTGGTGATGGGCATCAGGGTACTCCTGGCATCATATCCACTACAGTGCACTGCAGAGGTTATGGAGCAAGGCGTATTACTTTAAATGGAGTAATAAAAAAAAAAAAAAAAATTTAAAATAAAAAAATTTACATTTTATAACCAATTATGTTGGTGTTTATTTGATTATTGTATGTGTAGATAAGTGGTTCTTAAGATGACAGTTCAAGCACCAAAGTCACTAAAGTACACTGTGGTTGTTATGGTGCCAGGTGTTGGCTTGCCCCAACTCATTTTGAAAGAGACACTATTGTCACCAGAACCACTATAACTTAATGTGCCTGTAGCCTTTGCCAAAAAAGGCAGTTTCTACATTGCAGGCTAGGTTCTTAAACATTGAAGATGTTCTCTGGAGTCTTCCAACAAAAAAATCATGTTACATTTACTTGTTAACCAGAAAAAATGTGAACCTTAAATATTTCCACAACAACACATGACAAAATACACTCATACCAGGAAAACAAAGTGAAAGTAGTGGAAATAGATTTTTTTGTACAATTAGGTATGCTCACCTTTTCTTTCAAAACTCTCTTCCCTAAGAATACACACTAGTGATAGGAACTTTGTAACTTCTTTCAAGTAGAGCACTGTTGTATTGTTAAGTTTTATAATTGCCATTGATTCCTTGTCATATGCAGTTCCGTTGCAGTCTGCATGCAAGCTGAATAAACAAACAATATACAAATTAATTACAATACTTAAGGACTGTGAATGAAGGGCATAAAACAATTTTGTTACTAGAGAGTAGGGCACATGAAGCATACAAGAGTCCAACTCCATACCAGTGGTGATATGAAAATTACTTCTTTTGAATGCAGCTACTCAAAAAAATACAGAAAATAAAAGGTCACAACACATATAGAATAAAATCACAGCATTAAAGCAGCACTGTCACGCCGAACTTCCCATTCCCTAATCGCTTCCTCTTCTCTTCCTCTCTCAGGATATGTTCTTTATTTCTTCCAGTTTGCTCTAGTTTTCATTAAAACATAAGACAAAAGTAGGGACTATTTTTCCTACACTTGACCATCTTTGACCAGTGGACAAGCAAAGTGTGCTCCATTTCCTGTGGTCAGAGCAATTTCCCACAATTGTCACCTTTCCGCCGTTTCCTCCTTTCACTATTCCCGAACATCCTGTCATCTAGACAGAACGCTGGCAAAACTACCGAATTTTGTCCTAACAGAATGAGTACAGTTTCTTCAGTTACGTTAGGATGACAATCGGTACTTTTAGGTCTGTTCAAAATTTCATTTGAATTAATGAAATTCCAATCCGATCTGCGGCTGCATCTTGCAGCCGTGTAGTAGATAGCTCCCAGATACCGTGGGAAATAGGGAGCTATCGACAGAAAGGCTGAAAGACCAAGATTCAGCCAAATTTACCAATACTAAGTAAAGATTACTTAGTATTAGTAATTAATCTGCCCCTACTCGGTATATCACGAGTAATGGCATGTTTAGTAAACAGTGAGCAGCCACTGTTGTAAAAAAAAAATTAAAGCCTTCCCACGCCCTGCAATTTGACTCCGTGCGCTCGGATTGGTTGGTTTAAGCCAACCAAAAGAGTGCTCTGATTGATAGGCAAGTTTGAGCTTTGCAAGTTACGAATCAGAGCACTCTGAGTCAAATTGTAAGGCGTGAGAAGGCTTTATAAGACTTTTCCTGCCCTGTGAAGCTCAGTCTGCACGGTGCCATCGCTGGGTGAAGGTGGATTTAAATAAAAAAAATTGTGCGTCGGGTTTATTTTTATGGCGTATTTCTTATTTATTTGTAAAGTTCGACGGGTATTATGGATTTTTATTTGGCCTTTTTTGGGGCTGAAAAAAGAAAAGAAAAAAGAAGAAAAAAGAAGGCTTTAGAAAAATGAGACATCAAACTGTATTTTTATTTATTTACAGGTATTTAGTCTTATGGTCTCCCCCTCACTATTTTTAGGGTGAGGGTGGTAGGTGTGGCTTTATTTAAATTTTTCTGGTGGGGGGTATTTTTACATTTAGCCCCACCCATCGGCATAGCGAGTAGGGGCATTTGTGAGATTTAAATCACTCTTATGCTAATATGGGGGTTATACGGACTCCCATAGAATGAGGGAGGACATGGGGGCCTATGAAGTGGCAGGGAGATCCCTGGCGCTTCTATTTTTACATATTAGAAGCAGGGAGCTCCTTGTAATAAACTGAACAAACGAATGAACACCGATGGTGTTTGTTTGTTCGCCTGAAATTTCTATTCATTCCTTTGTCTTTCTGACGAAATTCCCGTCTAATTTTCGGACAATAGCGAATGCGCAGGAATTTCACAGCACAATATATATGTGTACTATGATGGGGGGGATGGTGGGGGGAATTAGATGTAGTGGAGACAAGAGGGGGTTTAAAAAACAAAAAACAAAAAAAACACTGGATTCGGCCATGATAGTGCCGCTTTAAGAAACCAGATGTGGTATTTTTTTATTTTGGAAAATAGTTAGTAGCTCACAATCCTCGGTGGGAAACTATATACAAAAATGTAAATCACCATGATGACCAATGGAATACAGCAACTGATTGCCTTAGTTTTACAGCTGTATATAAATTCATGCATAATACTCTGTTGGCCAAGACTACATCTCCAAAAAGAAGAAATGTTCATACTTTACCACTTTTTTTGTTTGTTTTAAACTACTATACATTTTAGTGAATGTAATTTCTCCTTTAAAGTGATCATCTACATAAACAAGGAGAAGAACATGAAGATGCTACAACTTGGGTAAGTGGGGACAAACAGATGCAAGGGGAAACAGGTATAATAAGATACACACAAGAAGATAAGGAGTGCCACATTTGGGGTTTGGGCACAAGAAGCAACAAATGTAAGGAGAAACATAAGGTGTACGGGGGTGATGAAAAACAATATGGATAGTTCTTTTTTTCCTAATAAAAAGTGTGTCCTTAACATGTAAAATAATTATGAAAATACACAACTCTGCAATGTTCAAGGTTATATGTATATGTGGCATCGAACACTAACCTGTATATACAGGATACATCTATTACAACATCTATCATATCACAGCACAATTCATATGACTGCATGTCTACCGGAGAGCTGTCTGTGGCAATGTAGATTTTACTGACCACGTCAAATAGAAATGCCTTCTCAATGCCAGAATTCTGAAAAGAAAATAAACAAACATAATACTCACAGGATAAGGAGAAGTAAGCCCCTAACTATTACACACAGAGAAAATGAGAATTCAAAGTGAATTTCATACTTCTTAAACTAGCTAAAATGGAATAATTCTCACTCACCTACCCTTCCAATTCAGCTACTCTAGCTTTAAATTTGAATTTCAGGAATCTCTACTCTCCCTAAATACAGTGTGTCTGGGGGGCGGGGTAAATATGTAATTGGCGAGGGAGCTGTCAACTTCTTTATCTCCCTCGGACGCCCTGCAGTGATACAAGGAGCCAAGCTTATGACATCACTCCTGCCCAAGTATCACTAAGCAGTGAGGAATATCAAAAAGATTAAAGCTGCCAAAGGACCCCAGGGAGAGGACCCACACAAGCTCTCCCAAAGGTAGGGATGCTGGGTGGGCCCCAAAATAATACAAAAACTATAAATAAAATTTGTGAGTGTTTGTAATTGAGAGTGCGTGTCAAATCACCGAGGATGTGTGTGTTAGTGTATGTGTATTTGAGAGTGTGGGTCAGTCAGTGGGAATGTGTAGTGGTTAAACTGTGTGTGTGCGCCAATAGCAGTGTGTCTGTCAGTGAGTTTGTGTATTAGTGAGAGCGCAACGGGGCCTTGCTTGATTCTTGCACCAGGGTCCTGTAATTTCTAATAAAGCTCCTGCTTACAACATGCTTTCTCTATGCTGACTGCCAGGAGCAAAACGCAAAGCTTATCACAATGACTAACAGGGAATGAAGACAAGTGTGCCCAATTGCAGGTTAAAGAGGTGTGGACAATGCCATTTCAGTTTGTCACACCTCACAAAGAAATATTTGCTAAATATCCTGATAAGTAAACAGAATATTAGAAATCCTAGATAAATAAATAAAAGGGCATGAATACTACTACAGGATTATTTGATCAATTTAGGAATTAGGAAAAGTGAATTTACAATTAATTCAGAATTTACAGCCACAACAAAACTGGAAACATTCTCCAAGTCAGACCACTAATTTGTTAGTAATTTAAGGAGAATTTATTTGTTGATCAACACTGAGTGTTCCTCTGTGGCAAACCAGAATTATTTTTTTGTTCTTCAATTTTTTTGGAACATCACCCTTAACTACTCCCTCATGGAGTAAAAGAGGCTCCACAACCCAAGGCAGTCTCAGTCTAATATCATCTCCATGACGATTAAAGACAGGTCTTTTCTACATGATTTAGCCTCTCCCAGCACTGGAACAGAATAACATCAGAACAAGCCAAAAAAAAAAAAAAAAACGACAAATGGCTGCAGCTACTCAGCCATAACCTAGAAGTAAAACCAAGACAATTCAGCAGGGCCAGGGCAGAAAATGACAATCACGGAAAGAATGAGATGTACAATTGTGATTAATAACAATGGCACACTACAGATAAGCTAATTGTATATTTGTGAAGACACATGCTTATTAAATAAAGAAATTGCTCAAGTTATCGCTTCTAATGGTAATTTACACATTGACAATTCTAATGTAAAACACAACTTAAACACTAAAGAGTAAAAAATCTGATGGGGAAAAAAAAATCCACATACTTACGGATATAAATATGTTTAGGAGGTTTTCTAATGTTGGCAATTGTGGAATCAGTTTCTGCACAACTTTACTGAAAGCTTCAAATATAGAGTGGTCATATATACTAGTCAAGTAGAAGCTGGGAAAAATAAAAGTTTGTACAGAAAGCATTAAAAAAAAAAAATTATATATATATATATATATTAAAATGTTTATAATTTATAATAAATACCTACATACTGATAAGAAACCCCACTTCGAGCACATCTCAGAATGCAGTGCACATATGCAAATAAGACGAGTTTGCCTCTTAGATTCCACCATTCTATTGGCCAATACATTTTTGCATGACAGTTTATCTATGAGAGTGGCTGCTGACAAAGCTTACAGTTTCAGATAAACAATGTGTTCAGCACCTCCTTGTCCTTTTGCCCCCTCGCATTCCCCTTACCATCAGTGGCAGGTATGCTTTCGGAATGGTTTTGCCACCTGAACTGTCCTTTGCCAACTGACGTATGATTTTAACATATTTCTGTATAATAAAAAAGGGGTTTAAAACCACATGGATTCTGATTTTCTTTGATGTGCAGTTTTCATCAACGTTTTGTCCTGCCAATTCAGTAACTACTTTAAAAGGACACTACAGGCACGTAGACAACTTCAGCTCATTGAAGTAGTCTGGGTGCACTGTGTCCCTGTTCCCTTAAACCTGCAATTGTAATTACTGCAGTTATTAATAAACTGCAACACTTACCTTGCAGGGTTAACTCCACCTCTAGCGGCTATCTGCTAGAGGCACTTTGAGGTGATAAGTCGACTATTGGTCACCTAACTGAAGCTGGAAGTCCTCATGCTTTGCATAAGATCGCCTCAGTTGGCTGGTGTCTGCAGAGGAAGAGCAGAGACAAGAGCTGATCCAGCGCAGAGGGACATCGGCGCTGGAGTCAGGTAAATGACAGAAGGGTTTTTAACCCTTTCAGCACCACAGGTTGGGGGTGCGAGGGAGGAGTGCAATGTAGGTCACTATAGTGCTAGTAAAATAACTTGTTTTCCTAGCACTGTAGTTTCCCTTTAATAAAAGTTCACAGCATACAAGAACCTTGATTACTACACAACCAACCATAAAATTTGAAAATTATACACAAAGAATCAGGAGCTCTGTAGCTACACCAATGTTCTAAAGCTACAGTATCCCTAAACAAATTTCACAAAAAACATTTGTCATTAATACATACATCTTAAACAGTAACAAACAAACAAACAAAAAAAAGACACCTAGAAGAAATGGCCAAAGGTGTAAGCAAGTAAACTCCAAGTAAAACAAAAGGAAGAAGGAGGGGGGAGGGAACAAAAATTAGTTTTTACCTAAGATGAAGTTTTTCAAGACCAACATCTGCCAAGTCATCATTGGCTCTCTGATGTATGTCCCTTTGGGTTTCAATCTTGTGGTCATCTGACAAACCATCAACTTTGTGAATGAAAACTTCAAAGTTCATATCAGGATTTGCTTTATAGGCTTTGGTAACTGTGACATGGAGTCTTGTCAGTGCTTCCATGTAATCATCCTGAAAATTATGTAACATATTAAGTTATATAAAATAAACACTAAACCCCCTATAAAAAAAGATCAGTCTCTTAAATTATATGTTTACAGCAGATTATAGGCAGAGCACTTCAGAAGATATTCTCCACCTACCATGCCTAATGTGAGTAAAAAAATAAAAAAATAATTATGGCTAATGTTATCAAGGGGCCTACTCTGCAGACCAAGCAAAAGAACCCTCCCGAGCAAAAAAGCTCACACCCTTGAGTTTCCCTCACACCCTTGAGTTTCCTTGCAGAATTCATGAATTACCTGGGCATCAATCACATATATTAATGCTCCTGTTCCTCTGAATATCATTTCATAGTCAAATGTTGGATCAAAAAAGTCCACTTGTCCTGGGAAATCCCATATTTGGAAATTAACAAAGGAACTATTTGATATGTCATCCTTGTAAATTTTGTTGGTACTTTCTAAGAACAAAGTTTCATTTGGAGACATCTTATGAAAAACCACCTGAAAGAAATCAAAGCAAAATGTTATTCATATAAAAGAGAAAAAAAAAAAAAAGTTATTTAACCCCTTAAGCACCAAACTTCTGGAATAAAAAGGAAATCATTACATGTCACACATGTCATGTGTCCTTAAGGGGTTAAAAAATTTTTTTAAACATTTCATAATTAACCTTAATTTGTGATGGCTGCTGGGTTGGACAAATGTTTATGGAAAAAAACAGCCATTTACCATGAGAAAAAAAGTAGTCCCTATATAAATTCCATCCATATTTGAATTGCATCAAATGGCTGAGCACAGTTGCTACACTCATCTAATAAAAGGACAAAAGATTATCAAAGATATAGTTCAGCCAGTTAATTAGAAATATGTACACCAATGGGTTAAGCAGGCTCAAAAAATGTTTAGAAAATCTCCTACCTGGAAGGTAATAGCAGGTAAAAAAAAAATTTCGTTGTTCCTGGGATGTCTGACCGCCCAGTGGAGGCTGCCTGCTGAGAGTAAATGCAGGTGGGTGGCAAGGAAGCATGAAGGCACTGGCTGACGGAGATGTAATATTCTTAAAGTCCTTGCTCTGCTCCTTTGCGCGCCCTGCTGTGATGCGGCATAATTCAACATAACTCCGGCCCCAGCATTACTAAACAGCACGAGGGAGCAGAGCAAGTAGAGCCAGTAGACAGAGCAAGTAGACTAGAGCACAACCCCACTGGACCCCTAGGAAAGGATCCAATCGAGCTATCCCACAGGTAGGGAGGCTGTATGGACTTAAATGGACACTATAGTCACCAGAACAACTACAGCTTAATGTAATTGTTCTGGTGAGTATAGTCGGTCCCTGCAGGCTTTTTCATGTAAACACTGCTTTTCAGAGAAAAGGTAGGGTTTACATTGCTCTCTATGGACAACTCCAGTGGCCACTCCTTAAGACAGGTGCTTCCTGGGTCAGTGCTGCACAGTGAAGTTCAGCATCTACACGCTCTGTACAGAGACACTAAAATTTCCCCACAGAGCAGCATCGATTCAAGGCATCTCTATGAGGAGATGCCCATTGGCCGGGGAGGCATTTGGCTCAGCCTCCCAACCCATTGGCTGAGATCATCAGAATTGACAGTCTCAGCCAACCCAATGCTTTCCTATGTCAATTCTGTTCATATTAGCCAAGGAGGCGGACTGGGGGCTGAGTCAGCAGTGGCAGACCCGCACAACGCTGGAAATAAGGTGGTGCCGGGCGGACTTAATAGTTAGTTAATACTACAGGGTGAGGAATACATGTTTGTGTTCCTGACCCTATAGTGTTTCTTTAAAATAAATAAAATTAAAAATAGATACATAAATATGTGTGTGTTTCTGTGTCCTGTTTAAGAGACTGGCACCCTCCTATCGCAAGGTGTTTTTACCCACCCGTGCAGCACTGAGATAGGAAGCAGCAATAGTGATAGTCTACGTTACTGCCTATAAACACCTAGTGGCAGTCACTCAAACACTGCCTTTTCTCTGAAAACTGGCTAAAAAAAAAAATATATATTATATATATATTTATATATATATATATATATATATATATATATACACACACATACACACATATATATATATATATATATATATTCATATTCCTTTTCAACTCAGTTTTGTGAATGGAGAGTCACTGATTGTCTAAGAGCGTCAGCTGACCGCTCTTAACCAAAATTACCCGGCAGCACTCCACGTTTCCTAAAACTGATATTTCAGAACCCAGATACCACTTGGGGGACCGGATAATTGGCACTGGAGGTTCACTTTGGAGTTCAATCACTCAAGAACAGTTTAACCACTGAAGGTAGGAATGCACCAGGTGGCCTCCTGACACGACAACAACTTCACTAGATGACTGGCCCCACCTATGGGAAAGCATTGGCAGGATAACGCGCATGTGGCAAAACGTAATGCTGCACCAAATCAGCATATTCTTATGAAGATGCATAGTATCAATGTATCTCTATAGGGAAAATACAGTGTCTGCTTGCAGAGCGCAGAGACGCTGAACACGAATGTTGCACGACCCAGGAAGCACCTCTAGCGGCTCTCTGTGTCACTTCCACTAGATGTGTTACTAGCCAGCAATGTAAACACTGTGTTTTCCCTGAAAAGGCTGTGTTTACATTGAAAAGCCTGCAGGGACAGTTTATAGGCACCAGAACAACTACATGAACCTCTAGTTGTTTTGGTGCCTAGTTGCCCTTTAATGTTGATGTTAGAAAGGGCTCCAACAAGGCTGCCCCTATACCAGTTTTATATTACATGCTTCACAACAAAAGTAATGAGACTGTGTTACACCACTTAAACAAAGTAGAAAAAAAGAGTGCAAAAAAGAATTTAAAAAAAAATTCAAAAGCTTGCCGAATCAAAAAATACCTCTTACAAACATCCAAAGCCACCAACAACCACGTGAAAGGCAGCCTACTAAACAAACCCCAAACCTTGAGTACTCAATGATAACAGCTTCTTGGACCTTTCCAGGAGTTTTATAAACAATTAAATGTAAATTTGTAACATGATACTGCTACTGTTGCACTATTAGTTTTATAAAACTTTGTTTTACAAGACAGAAGTAAAACTGATGACTTATCAAATTTAAAACATTTTTTAAAAGCAGTTTTTTTCTGCCTTCTGTACCCTAAAAGTCACCACACTTAGACTGTGTATAAGAAGAAGTACTCTGCAGTCTTTGGTCTCGGATCATCAGATTGTAATGAAAGGATAGCATCCAGCATTTAAATCCCTCCCCTTCTTCCTTTTCTTTTGCTACATCTTGAAGATTTAGCTGTCTGAAGAACACACCCCTTTGTTTATAATAATTACCATCAATTAGTCCCATTTTTTTGTATGATACTAATACCAGTATTTGGACTGCAATGAGCATGGTGTGTTACGGTTTTAGAACTTGGCCCATAAATAACACAGAGGAATCTATGCACTGGAAGGTTTATTCCATCGCAAAAAATATATAAAAAATAATAATAATAATAATAATAATAATAATAAATATGTGCACTCCCCCAGCAAATTAGGATTTTAGCAGTTTGTGTTAGAAACGGGAATAGGTTATTCACTAAACTGAGAAGCAGGGGCATACAAATATGAGACCAAAATAGCAGAGCCTGAGAATCTTCCCATTCCCTTTATGTTGTATAAATGTATTCCCTAATCAACTCTGGAATTAGTCAACAGAATTCTTTTTCTGAGCCAGGAAGTGCAGAGAAAGCCCTTGTCAATATGTACACAGGGAGAGGATGGGAAACTGGAAAGCTAAGAACACCTGATCACACTGTGTCCTTTGGAGAATTTGGACAGGATGGGTACCCATAGACCATCTAACAAGAGCTGGGGGCGAAAAAAGCCCTCGTGATGGTGTGAAAATAGTAACTCCCATCATGCTTTGACTGCCTTTACATTAGCAAAGCATCACGGGACTTGTGGTTCTAGAAGCATGGGATATACTGTGAGCCTCCCCCATTAGCACTTGTGTTATGAAACTAAGGTTCAGGGCTGGTGAACTACAACTCCCGTGATGCTCCACTGTGCGTTTAGTCCTCCAAGGCTGACGGGAGTTGTAGTGCCGCCGTTCTACCTGTGACTGGGGATCCCCGTGATCTCACCTTCTGGATCGAGGATTTCCCGCTCCTACGCATGCCCATTAGCAGGATCCGCGGTTTGCTGTCCGAAGCGGTCGAGCTCTCATCTATTTCCGACTCGTCGGCCCCATAGCCGAAGTCTTTGGGGAAGGAGTCGGCCACCCCATAGCTATCAGCCATCTGGTCCTCCCCGGTGTACTGGATGGACATGGTGACTCGGTGTGAGAGGGCGGGTGATGTACTGAGCTGGAGACTGAGGAGAACCCGTTAGCACATCGCACGAGCCGCCCGGGCAGTCACCATCCTGTCTGCGGAAGCGGATTGGGGGGCTGCGGTCACTTTAAATATGGGAGACTGTCCGCGAGCGCCGCACCCGCTCCCCTGCGCACGTGCCGGCCTCCTCACAGCGCGCGACTCGTGCGTACCGCACAGACCCGAGCCGCGAGCGCCGCGATCCCCCGCTGTCAGCGCTATTGCAGCGATAACAGTAGCGTAGCTACATCGGCGGCTAACACTGCAATTCCCTCCTCTACCGAACCTAGCGCCTAGTATCCGCCTGCTTTCTTTCGTACAGCCTTGTGATTGGCTAGCCGGTCAGGCTTTGCAAAGCTCTGATTGGCTGAAATGGCTGTCACTCATTTCAGTCGTCCAGCAAGTTTAGTTGTTCCTGAATCATGTGTTTGAAAATCACCTGACTGAGGGAAAGGGGGGAGGGGTGCTAGATTGTTCATGACCCTTGACCTGCAGTGGTGGAAGGCTTTACCATAACATGGGGATCCTCTCCAATAACAGCCTGAGTCAGGCATGGAGAAAATCCTGACTGAGCAAATAATAGCTATTGATGATGTGGTCATTCACTAAACTTTGAGTAGTAGAGCAATAAAATGTGAATGGCAAAATGTAGGAAAAATAGCTCATTTAGAAAACGTTCTAACAGCTAGTCACAGTTTAAAACATAATAAGAGCAATAAAACATCAATAAAATGTTATAGTATTGGGTGAAATGGTGATACTCCCAACACCTCGAAAAAATAGTGAACAAAAAAAACCCCACACACAGCGTGTTAATACACCAAGTATTTACACCTTTTAAAGTGCAATATAGAGTATATATAAAATAAATATACCTATGAACTTCTTTAAAGTGTAGTCACACGTACAGTAGAATCTACAAAACAATAACGGTCAACACGTGGTGTGTACTGAATAATATAGCTTAAAAAATTCAATGTGGAATATCACTCACATATTGCAGAGCCATATACACTGATTATAGCGCCCAAGGGTGCCTAAAAGGCAAAAGATGTGTTGGTAGAAGTCTGGAATGGATGATCCAGTAGTATAAAAGCAGCAATAGTGGAAATTGTAACACATTTATTAAAACAATTAAATATAAAGAAGGAACTGTGAAAAAGGAAGCCCTTGATTGTACAATACCATACAGTCTTCTATGTTTGCAGACGCGTTTCAATTCTAAACGAGTTTTCCTCAGTGCGTGCATATTGCACTTTAGAAGGTGTAAATACTTGGTGTGTTAACATGCTGTGTGTATTTTTGTGTTAGCTTATCAAAGTTTGCCTAGCTTTGAGCAAATTTTGTCATTCAGATTTCAATCTGTCGCAATTCAGAGTTTAGAGAATAAAGCAAATCTGTAGGGATTTAAAAGTTGCTCTAATAAAAGCCAGGTGGGGGAGAGACATTCCAAGCAAGTTTCACTTCAATTATTTTTTTTGGTCCATTATTCAAAACTAATTTTGAATTTAGTAAATAGCCCAGATAGTCCCACAAAGATTTAATTTAAAATTGAGTGTGGAGGGAGGGGAGAGTGTTGTTTTATTAGTTTGGAATAGTTACTCTCCAAGAACTCTTGGTGAGGTTCAGTTTCTTACAGGGCCATAATCACAGGGTAGGAGGCTGGCAATCAGGCCCATCCAAAAGCCAGTGACGAGGTTACTTTCGTCATATTCAATAACTACAATAATCGTAAATATAGTAGTTATGGTACCAGCAGTACTCATATTGTACCTCTGATTTTCATCAAACACTTCTGCATTTACACAGGCTTCCTGCATGAATTCTGTTAGGTATAAAAATACTATGGATACAAAAAAACAAAACAATATTGACACTTAATGTGTATATATAGTAAATATCAGTGAGAAATATCAGTGAAAAATACTTATCTCAAAATTCAAGTATGACAGCCTCCTAGGTCATTACCCAGCATAAATGACCTTTACACAACGAAATATAGAACAACCAGATATATTTGGGATACGGCAGAAAGTCTAGAACAAAATAGGAAACAAAAAAGCATATATAGTGTAATACAGTTTAAAATATGATTTGGTGTTAATGAAATGCACTCACAAGGTAATGTAGGGAATAGCGCTCAAGTGTGCCTCCCCGATAGCAGTGGGGGGCTGAAATATCCCTCGTGTTGCTCCGATAATGTAAATACCACACAGGACTCCAAGGATGTCAGGAAAAATTCAGCAGCTTTATTCAGGATGAAGCATCACCCATAAATGATAAAATATAATATAAAGTATAAAACAACAAGGTCCTATGCGTTTCGTTCATAGAATATGAACTTCCTCAGGGACCAAAATTTAAAACAAATTGTACAAAGCAGTAACAAGTATAAAAAGTAGCCTTTTATGCAGTAAAAGCATAAAAATACTATGAACGAGTACCTAGAGTTCTCACATCCTGTTTGAAAACTGATTTCATCTTACACCAGAGAGAGTTTATTTTAATTCAGCTGGCCAAGTTCTAAGTTTCTTATACTTTTTACAATGGATATCTGACAGGGCTGAAAAGTTCAAGTCGTACACTACTAGCCAGACCTTAAAAGTTACTTAGCACAAGTCTGAAGGGTCTATGGCACTTTCACCAGTACTGTATTTCCACTCATCAGGTCTACATTTTCACTCACTTGAGGCATGGAGAAATTTTAAATGAAAAAGGTATGCAACAAGGCAGCACCTAAATAATTTATTTCAGTGGAAGATACATCTTTTTTAATTACATAGAGAGCCAGTAGTACTTAGTTATGCAGGTAAAGTTTGTATTTTTCCTTTAAAACAAGTATTTTTTATTTCTTCTTTTCAAACGCTGTGGGGATCCCTCTGGTTTTGCTGGTTCCTCAGGAACAGGCATCTGAACCAGAGACTTACCCATACTAGATCATATGTGGCCAAGAGGTACAACCAATACTCTATGTGGTTTATTCAATAAAATTCAGATTGTGAAGAAATTATAAGGAAACTGGAAATGTAAAAGAAATTAACTGAGTTGGAAAACATTAAGAGTTTGGGTATTTTGAACTTAATTCTTAATCAATTTCATAATCAATTTACCACAACACCTAATTTAATGAATAGATATACTTCTGTGAGCAGAGTTGTAACTCCACCTTTGACACCAATAATGATCACACTAGGTCCTCCATCTTAGAAGATCATAAGGACAGATGAACAATGGCTCATGGATTAATGTTTTCTACTGCAAATGTTATTTTTCACTTTACTTGTCAGTTTGTCATAATGCTCAGTGATTCTTGTGTAATTAATATATTTAACATATTTTTTAAAATGTACTGCTCATTGTAATGTTTTTGTCACGAAAGAGCTATTATAATAATTTATTGCTCACCTGTATGTCATAACTATTTGTTATCATGTAGGGATAATCCAATTGTTAACCCATACGTATGGTGTTTTGTTATTACTATGACAAAAATAGTATGTAAGCAAAATTTACAAATCTCAGCCTTTTTTAAAACAATTTTGTTTCATAGTCACTCTTTGAATAAACATATGACAGACGAAACACATGAAAACCTTAAAATGTTGTGATGATTAACAGCAAAAGAGGAAATCATCAGGCTTACATGATCACATGCTTCTTGTGACTGCATGTAGACGAGCACAAGTGGCTCAACTTGATCAGTTGATTTAACACTATCAGTGCTGAAGTATGTACGGCGTCATTTAATACAGAACAAATGCTTTCTTGAGCAGTGAAATATAAACTTAAAGGACCACTATAGGCACCCAGACCACTTCAGCTTAATGAAGTGGTCTGGGTGCCAGGTCCATCTAGAGTTAACCCTGCCTGCTGTAAACATAGCAGTTTCAGAGAAACTGCTATGTTTACAATTGGGTTAATCCATCCTCTAGTGGCTGTCTCATTGACAGCCGCTAGAGGCGCTTCTGCACTTCTCACTGTGATTTTCACAGTGAGAAGACGCCACGTCCATAGAAAAGCATTGAGAATGCGCACATGCGCATTCAGCCGATGACGTCCAAAGGAGGAAGAGAGTACCCAGCGCCGAGGGAGCCCAGCGCTGGATAAAGGTAAGTGATTACCCCTTACATTAACTTCAGCCCAGCGGCAGGGGACCTATGAGGGTGGGGGCACCCTCAGGGCACTATAGTGCCAGGAAAACGAGTTTGTTTCCCTGGCACTATAGTGGTCCTTTAAGCGTCACGGTAGACAATGCCCCCACATTTGCATAAATCAAAAAAAAAAAAATAGCTATCACTATCTTATAGCAGGATAGAATTATGACAAAATGACTAGGTTAAAGTAGTTGAATCTATTAATAAGGATGAGTGACCACATATCCTTGTGTAGATTGTATTTCTGGTAGGTAACATGTTCATCCTCACCTTGCGACATTGAGGGTGGTTGCCTTGCCAATAAACGCGGTGGTGCAGTTCAGCGGCTATGCGTCAGTGTGTCTGACCCCTGCAGCATGTTGATGGCCGCTGGCCGCTGTGGATCCACACTAATTTATAACCCCATGTCCGCCCACGGCATGGAAGACTGAAAAGGGCACACATGCACGTGCTGGGGTTAAAGGACGGTTTGGGCCAAACGGATCCACAAGAGGGGTATTTTAGGTTCCTTCTGCTCATTGCCCTGTCATGGTTTGGCTAGTGGTTGTCCGAGAGTGTATTCCTGAGCGTTTATTTCTGGTATTTGACTTTGGCTTAGTTTGACTTCCCTGTATTCTGGTATCCTTGACTTTTGGCTTCCCCTCATCATTGTGTCTCTTTCTGTATCCCTGACCTCGGTAAGTATTCTGACTATTCTCTGGTCCGTTAAGTCTGGCCATTCTAAGGCCCGGTACACCAGGGGTAGGCTACCTTCGGTACTCCAGATATTGTGGACTACATATGCCTTTGATACATGGCCAGAATTATAGCTGTAAGAGCATTATGGGAGGTGTAGTCCACAACATCTGTTTCACATCCTTATTGTTCTTACTGTAAAAAAAATTCCTTCCCTTTCCCTTAGACTTAATCTCCTTTCTTCCAGTCTAAATGCGTAACCTTGTGTCCTATGACGGGCTCTCATTTCCTCCCAGCACTCCCTGCAGAAAAGAAGGGGTCCAGTCGCAGTGTTAAAGAGCTGCAGCACACGACCGGGCCCTTGATAGCACATGTCTATCGGGTGGCCCTTAGTTTAAGGGCCACCCTATGGGCCCTGTGGTTCCCAACCTCTGAGATGCACAATTACAGATAATTATTTTCTGTGTACCCCTGGGGTACACGTACCACAGGTTGGGAACTGGTGGACTAGAGCAATTAAGAAGCATGTTCAGTTGTTTTTTTAGGGAAAGCAAATAAGCAGCTTTGCTTGTCATGATGGATAAGAGGTCTGCTCAATTAAGTGGGCTGCATTTCCTGTCCAATTAAGTGGACGCATATGTCATCGGACGGCGTGCGTGATGACGTCATATCGCTCGGACGAAAATATAACACCTGAGAAAGGTTATTGAACTTTGTGGACGTTAGGGGAGGTATAAAGGACTGGGGAGGGAAAGGGGTTTTTATTATTCATTTGAATCCTGTTACTGCACACTACCAAATCCCTGAGGAAGTCCTATACACGGATGAAATGCGTAGGACCCCTGGTGGTGACTCAGAGATACTAAACCTATTGTTTTTAACCTTGATGTAAGTGATTAAATTGATTTTTTTATTGCAGTCGTAATTGTGCACTACAATTTTATTATATTTTCTCTCTTGAGCACATATACTCCAGCCAATCCATGGTGATTTAACCCCTTAAGGACAGAGCTTCAAAAGCTTGTCTTTCACTTAATGACAACGGCATTTTTTTAATTTTTTGCTGTTTGCGTTCAACTGCAATTTGCATTTTACTAATTTGTTGCACCAACACATATTATACATCGTTTTTTAAAGGACAGAAAGGGCTTTAGTTTGATGTAACACACATATATATAAATGCTTATTTATTATAAAAAAAATACAGAAAAATTTTTAAAAAGTGACAATTTTGTCGTTTTTTTTTACAGTTTTTGCAATAATAACGTGTGCATAATTAGTGCAGGTTAAGAAAAGTAATTAAAAATTCATTTAGTTGTTCTGATTTACAGAATATATAATGTGTCTGGGATTGTAAGTTTTTTTTGGTAGTTACAGGTCACAAAGCACAAGGAGTAAAATAGACTTTTAATGTGGAGCGATTTTAGAATTTGGTATGTTTGTCTTGTAAGCTTAATAGCCATAAAAGAAAACAAAATTGCCACACAAAAGTATATATTTATATAAAGTAGACATCAAGGGCTATTTACCTAAGGTTGTTTTGACACTTTCTACGTAGCCATTTCACCGCCAATCTCTGCTAAATAATGGAGTAAAATTGTGTTTTTGGGGGGTTTTTGGCACACAAACTTATAACAGAGAAATTCTTGTGTATATTTTGTAAAGTTGGTGTGTTCTATTCCTGTACAAAGTTTTATTGTGTGTTCAGTTACATCTGCTGAGTAAAAAGACACCCCCATTGTATGTCTTTGGCACTATTTCGTGAAGTTACAGTGCCACACAGGATACCTGTCCTTTTCAGTATTCACAGTAGAATTTTGAGATGGATTTAATGAGCCTTAGCTTCCATTTAGGGTATTATAACAGTTTGACTGTTCAAAAAACCCCCACAAAGGCCTACCATTTGTAAAAGTAGACACTCAAGAGTATCTCATAAGGTGCATATTGTGCCTTAACATGCCCCCATTTTTTCACCAATATATGCCAAAGTATGTGGTAAAAAATAATTTTGTGCATTTTTTACATACGGATTGCATTTTTGCTGGGCGTTTTGTATATTTCATATGTGCCACTAAGTTCAAACCCCCCAAATTATGCTCAGCTAAGTCTTCTGAGTAAAATGACACCCCATATGAATGTCTTTGGCACTATTTCGTGAAGCTACAGTGAGACCTGTCCTTTACAGTATTCACAGTAGAATTTTGAGAGATGGATTTAATGAGCCTTAGCCATTTGGGGTATTATAACAGTTTGACTGTTCAAAAAACCCCCACAAAGACCTACCATTTGTAAAAGTAGACACTCCAGGGTATCTCATAAGGTGCATATTGTGCCTTAACATACCCCCATTTTTTCACCAATATATGCCAAAGTAGGTGGTAAAAAAATTATATTGTGCATTTTTTACATACGGATTGCATTTTTGCTGGGCGTTTTGTATATTTCATATGTGCCACTAAGTTCAAACCTCCCACATTATGCTCAGCTAAGTCTTCTGAGTAAAAAGACAATGAATGTCTTTGGCACTATTTCGTGAAGCTACAGTACCATATAGGAGACCAAGCCATATCCGTTTTTACCAAACTTTGAATTTTGACGCTGGGCCTATGTGCAATTTCCAAGCATCTTCGCAGGTTTTAAATTCAAACTACCCCACAAAGGCCTACCATTTCTTAAAGTAGACACCCCAGGGTGTTTCAAAAGGTATAGTTTGAACCTTAGCGTGGGATCATTTTTCCGCTAGCTTGTACCAGATGTAGTGGTAATAAGCGTTTTTTCTGCCTTTTTGACATACAAAGTGAGTTTGCACAGTATATTTTGCAAACCTTATGTGTGCTACGACTGTATAATACTTCATATGTTGCTCAGCTATGTCGGCTGAGTACAGCAATACCCCCGTATGTACCTTTGCCAGGTATGTGTGGACATCGGAGGGGCACATTTGGGACACAGCCATTCCAGTTTTTTTCAAACTTTGAATTTTTATGCTGTGCCTATGTCCCATTTTAGAGTATTTTACCAGGCTATATAATCCAAATACCCCATAAAGCCATACCATTTCTTAAAGAAGACATCCCAGGGTATTTCAAAAGGCATATTTTGAACCTTAGCGTGGGATCATTTTTCCGCTAGCTTGTACCAAGTGTAGTGGTAATTTTTTCTGCCTTTTTGACATACAAAGTGAGTTTGTGCAGCATATTTTGCAAACCTTACGTGTGCTATGACTGTATAATACTTCATATGTTGCTCAACTATGTCGGCTGAGTACAGCAATACCCCTGTATGTACCTTTGCCAGGTATATGTGGATGTTGAAGGGGCGCATTTGAGACGCAGCCATTCAGTTTTTTTCTAACTTTGAAGTTTTACGCTGTGTCCATGTTCCAATTTGGAGTAGTTTAGACGGTTGGTTATTGAAACTTCCCCACAAACACATACTATTTATTAAAGAATACACCCTGGGGTAATTCAAAAGGCATATTTTGAACCTTGGCGTGGGATAATTTTTTCTCTAGTTTGTTCCAGGTGTAGTGGTAATGAGCGTTTTTAAAATTTTTTTACTTTTTATAACTTTTTTACTTTTAAAAACTAGTTTTTAAACTTTTGTTTTGCTTATAAATTTTTTTTTAACTTTCCTAAACTTTCTTAAAACTTTTTTACAGATTTAAAATTTTTCTAAGCTTTTTTTTTTACCGTTAACCCCTAACTAGCAGTACGCAGC